AATGAAATACAAGCACAAACTTAAAAGAAAGTCATAAAGTAAAAAAAAAATTCACAGAAGACAAAAAATAATTTTAACATCTAACATTGTACATTATGTTGATAATAGCTAATCTGTGTCAGACCTGTAAACCCATGTACCAGTTGTTCCATTGTGTTCTGTAGTGCCCTTTCTGTGCTTGGGCCACACCATCACTTTGTGGGTGTTCTTCATTTTTTTAAAATAATTAAATCCATGTTCTTTATTTTTTTCTAACAGAATCCTGACAAGGCTGCTGGAAGTCTCAGATGACCCCCAGGTGTTAGCCGTAGCAGCTCATGATGTTGGTGAATACGTGAGGCACTATCCTCGAGGGAAGCGGTAGGAAGTCAATATTTGATGTTCAGTCTCACTCAGCACTCATTAATAATTACTCTGGGACTTGGGGAGTAGGCAAATGTTATTCTGTTGCAGGCAAATACCTATTATGTCATGTACTTTGTTAATTGCAGGAATACAATAGACTAGTGAATAGTTTTTCTTAGAACATAATAATGTTAAAAGGCCTTGCATGGCTTTCCACAGGGGTCACAGTGTTGAAAGGGGCACAGAGAAGCATGTGTCTTTGAAATTAATCATCTTGTGAATGTCATACTCTACCATGTTGAAGAGCTGTGAAGAATGCTAGCATTGCCGTGGCAACCGGCCCCGCATATTTGCTTTTGCTGGTTGCCATGGATTTGAAATCAGACAGTGGCCTGTATCACCCGAGGCATTTTAAGGCCACTCCTGCCTCAGATGGTTCAGGTTTATTTAAGGTCTACCTGGACTAAGCTCAGTGCACTGGTATTGTGTTTGCTAGGAGCCTCTGTAACTCGTCGCTGGTCCCTGTGTTCCGGAGCTCGTGTTTCTCAAATTTTGACTTCACCTTTCAGATTTTCCTCGGTACCTTTCTACTGTGTTTATTCCTGACTATGAACCTCGCTTTATTTCTGACTTTGACCTTGGACTGTGTTTTCCTTCCTCTGTACTTTGCTCACCATTTCCATTGCTGGCACCCTCTGCTGCTTCTTACATTATCTTGCCTAGATTTGACCACTTTGCTTCTTTACTCCTGCACCTGGGTTTACCTCTCGCACACCAGACCACTGATTTACTCTATCGGGAGTAATGAACATTAAAGTAAATTCATGAAATACCTACCTGGTACCTATTTGCAAATCTAATAGCTTTGAAGTCATTAGGTAGGTGGGTTAGTCAGTTATATGGTAATATTGCTTATTAACAACAGCTAACAGATTCATGGAAGGGCACATAAAATTCCAATCATGTAATCCAGATTTTGAATTAAATGTTGTATAAAGATAACCCATTGATGAAAGATTCACCACAATGCAATTTGACGTTGAAGAGGTTATGGAATATTGTAAGTTTATAAGAAGTGAAAACTGTCAAAACTGCTCTAACACAAAATAAAAAGAAATGCTAAATAGTATAGGCTGATCCGAGATAGCTGATCTGACAGAAGAAATAGCAAGATATAAACATTATTGTAACTATTATATCAAGAATGCTAATGGAAGAACAAGGAGAGAAGATGTGTTCTTAGTACTTAGTCAGCATAATTGCAGAATGGACTTCTGAGATACAACTGAAGGAGCACTACTCCACCTGTATCTCTCTCAAGCACTTGTTAATAGCAGAGTAAGTAGAGAATATGTTTTTTCTTAGTAGTGTTATTGGTTAGAACACAGACAAGAACTTATTTTAAGGTCATGGGCCGATATTCAGGCTAGGAAGAGTATTAGGTTGTGTTTAACCAAGTGTTTATGTGGACTGAAAAGCATGGTAAGTAGACTGCAGAGTGCCCAGTGAATATTGTTAACTTTGCTGCAGAATGAAAACCATATGAAGACAAACATCTTTAATATTAGTTAAACACAGGTTTAATATGTATTTACTATAGCCTATTTATTTGCAGCTGCATCTCTCATATTAATGTATATTAAATATTGAAGGAGTCCTCTAAATTGACATTTTGATAATGTACCCATACCCAAAACATGACCAGTCCTCGCTCTGTACAACTACAGGTCACACCCCTTTCACACTGCCCTTACCAGAGCTTACCTATGCAGGGGTTTTGGTGCATTTGTCCATATGGCCAGGCTTTACTCCTTCAGCTAAGGGGCCAATGCCAAATCTGTTTCAAAGGCAGCTGTCCAAGTAAACAACTTAACATTGTGTGGCATTATGGAACATCAGATTGATAGTAGATGGAATGCACTCAGCTGACGATCCACATTGTCCTAAAGCAGGTTCTTGTCTTGACTTTGAAGGAAAAAGTACCCTCAGTGTTGTGTTTTTGGTGCAATGGAAGATATTTAAATCTATTAAAACATTTCTCAATACCAGCATCTACCTATGATTTTTCTCATCTTTAAATAAAATTGAATTGTCATTGTTTTGTGCTTTATACCCACTGTTGAAGAAACATGTAAAGAGAAATATGTTCATTCTAATGTAAAATAGTATTTTACTTTTAGATCAACTTTGCCAAATGTTTTATTTTTTCAGAATATTATTCAGAAATAATGTTCTAATAGACTGGTATTATAAAAGGTTTATATTTAGCACAATTCACAGAGCAAAAATTACAGTTTATTAAAAAAAATAAGTTAAGACTACTTAATAATAAGTTAGAATATATACAGTAGGAATATACTGAAGAAACATTGTTTGCAAGTCCTGTAAGTATAGATTCACTCTAAGAGTAGCTGAATAGAGCGAAAAATCAGGGGAGTAAAAGATTAGTTAAAGCCGGTTGGTCTAATTATAGAATGGTCTGGAGACATTTAAATGCTGGTGTTACTTTTAAGGAAGGATAAGGTTAACAGAGACTCCTTCTCATATTAAAAGCTGATTTCTAGGAACAAGCAAGATTTCTAAGCTTTCTAAAGTAAAACAGGCTAGGTTAAAATAACTTAAACAACCCAGCTCTGGATCAAATTGTTCATTAGCTTGGCCCGCTGCCACAACTGTATCTCAGAGAAATTAGGAAGGACTGTGCATGCCAACCTCTGACACTCAGTTTTTCTCAGCTTGACTCAAACATCGTAGCTTCCTTGTGGGGAGAGTTAAAGTCCACTGACTCTGGTCTCTGGAGTCACTTTTGAACAGCATATCGAGGTATAGATGTATGACAACTAGTTGTGGAATCAATGTAGAATTCCAGCTGGAGTCACCTAATGACATACATCAGGACTGACCTGTAAGTGGCAAACCTACACTTCAGGCACATTTATGGATTCAGCCACTTTGAAGTCCCTTTATTTTTTAGTCAAAACTAAGAGTTTTGGTGGAGTACTCTGATGGCATTTTGAAGTACCTTGCCAGTACCACAAAAATAAATTTTGTACAATACTGGGAATAAAAGTACAGTAACTCCCACACTGAACAAAACAAAAAGCAAAAAGGTAAAAAAGTGCAGTGCTTTCACTTTATATTTAAGACAAACTAATAATTGTCTTTAGTGCAAGCCAAATATTTCCATCATTTTTTTAAATTAAGGTGTAGTATGCTTGGCATTATAACTTTTTCCCTTAATTTATCTACTGTTACTTTCCATATTTACAAAATGGAGTGTTTTTAACATACACATTTGCATAAGGAAAGTGTAGTACAGTAATTAGCATTCTTGCCTCACTGCACTGGGGCCCTGGGTTCAGTGGACTGGCGTCCCAACCAGATTGTATCCTGCCTCTTGTTTGTTGCTTGCTACAACCCTGAATCGGATGAAGCAGTTAGAAAATGGATGGATGGACATTTGCTTAAGACTGAATTTCTGTTTTATTTTGCTTTTTGAACAGAAAAAAGGTTTACAGATAATTGATCAATTTAGTGGTATTTCTGAAGGAGATATATTATAGTTGCATAGTTGCAGGAAAAACATATTATTTTCTTAGATAAAATACTGGTCCCCCCCCCAATTAAATGGATATGCCCAGAATATACACAAGTGATTGGTATAGTTAGAGGCACCTGAGTACTTTGTTCTCTGCCACATGTCTGGCAAAAGAGTAATAAATCAGAGTCAGCCTGGAATAAACAAACATTTATTAACAAGGACATTAACACAAAATAAACAGCATCCAACACAACATACTATTCTATTAGAATAACACAACAAGTTATTCTATTTACAGACCTTTGTCATGGCCCACCATGATGTCAAGATTGCCGTCTAGTATCCAGAATCCTCTATGATGATGATAACCAGAGAGAGAAGCCTGCATCCTAAATAAAACACTATAAAACCCAGAGCTAAGTCTCTATTTTCCTATAAATCCGGATGCTCCAATGTGAATGGGACCCTAACTCCTTATTCTAAAAATACATCACTAACCAAGAGAGAATGTTTTTAACCTGGGGATTCTTTTAAAAGGAAATCAGAGTTTCCAAAAAATATTAGATTGGCAAGCTTGCTTGACATGTACGGCTCTCGAATCCGGACTTTCAGGTTGATCTGAACGAAGACCTCTCATCTGGCATGCGTCTTCTTCTCTGTCTCTTTCCTTCTTGTTCTTCTTCTTTTGGTGTCCCCCACCTCCTGCTTCTGCCTACCCATCTTTATCCTTCACTAATGAAGACCCTGAATGATGTAACAGATTCATTTCAATGTATTGTCTCTGAGGCCGCCTACAGCTCTGCAGACACCTTTCTTTTATATGTTGTTTCTAGATCGTGATGGCACTTCACTAGCCATTTCAACAGCTGTGAGAATATGTCATTCAAAAATAGTCCAGTGTGAACAGAAGCAATTGACAAGTTTTTTTTTCCTATCCCAAAGACTTTGCCCAGCAAGTTTGTACTTGTGAATTGGTCTGTATGTGGTATTTTAGAAGACACACTGATCATTTTTTCCTAAAATTGTCTCATATTGCCAGCTTATTACATCGTGTGACCACACCTGTTAACACACAGGCAAAATGTCAGTGATGGCTTGTCTTAACCTACCTCTTAACTGTATTTCTGTAGTTCCATGTTCTAAACCGAAAATGTTCATACAAATATGAAATGCATCCCACTACATCATAATTCGTACAAATACAATCTGTACTGTACATCAGAGTGTCACTTTAATTCTTGAATGTTTTTTTTCTCCTTCATTAATTGACAGAGCAACATGAACCGTATTTTGACTAGTAGTAAAGCTTCCAACACTTTATGAGTAGTTTAGGTATTGGCTTCATTGTTGTTATCCATCATTCCTGGACATAAAAAAATGAGCTTGTGTTGGTGCCAATTATTTTCTTGGGAGACACAACAACTCTGGATTTGTTGGCCATAAGGGCAGCCATCCCGGATAAGGTGAAAGCATG